AGGATTGGGCTTTGGACTCTGGAAAGTGGGCAGAAGCCATTTGGGCCTTCTGGGTGGTTCTCCATAGTTAGTTTGAAGCTTCCAAACAACCCTGTCAGATCCCTCTTGACCTTCTTGAGTGTGCCAGAGAGACAAAGTCACATAGAATCCCCAACATGGCTCCCCTTTCCCAGAGTCCCTTTATCCCCACAAGAAAGCTCTGGGACATTTGTGACACAGAGCTACAGACACAAGGCTCTTTTATTTTCTGAAGCAAGTCCCAGAGATGCTGTAAAAAGCCACAGAACCCATAGTGGACATGCACAGAGGCCAGTGAGTCTGCCCCTCTCTGTTCCCTGCTGGGTCATGGGGCCTTTGCTCAGGTCAGCCTTGGAAAGCAGGGACGGGTGATGGGAACAGAGATCCTAACCAGAGTCAAGAACACCTCCCAACCCTCACCATCCATTGCCATGACAACCTTCTTGCTAGGCTCCTTAAGGGATGGTGACTGGGCCAAGGCTCTCATTTACTCTCCATTCAGGTGCTGGGCTCCTGGCTAGAGCTGCATTTTCCCCTCCTTCACTTCTGTGCTCTTTCCCATTTCCTTTTTCCTAACTGTGGATTAACAAAGAGCAGAAATGGAAAAACACTGCCTTAAGGTCCAGAGAGGTCGATACAGTTGTACTGTATGTAATAGCACCAAACTGCTACACAGGTAGCCTTGGGTGACCTGAGACACACTGGGAGACCCACTCCATGTCACTTCTCCTCCATGCCCCATGTCCTGCGCAACTTGCCCTTAAAGATGCTGTGCAGTCCATGCTGCCATGGTCCCCATGTCTGTGTCCCCAGAATTCCTAATTGGAACCTGATCTCCAAGCTGATGGTTGATGGGGCTTTAGGAAGCATATTCAGTGGCAATAGCAGAGGAGAGAGTATGGGATGGGATTAGTGCCTGAGGGGGACAGAAAAGACCAGAGTCCTTGGGTCCTACCATGTAAGTACATAGGTCTTGTAGGCATCATCTCTGCATGAGAAACCAGGCCTTCACTAGACACTTAATCAACTGGTGCCTTAATCCTAGAGTTTGCAGCCTCCAGAACTGAGAAATAAGCTTCTGCTGATCATAATTCACCTCATCCACAATACCTGGCCAGAGGTTGAATGTATTTCTATCCACTTTCCAAGTGTCCCTTCACATGGAGCCCCCCAGGGCTGAGCAAAACTCATTCCTGCATGACATATCCCTACATGAGTTGCCACCAAGCCATTGTTCACACAGTTCCCATCACACAGGGCATCATATTTATTTCCTATTTCTCGTGGCTTCTGCTCTTTGCTGACCCCTCCTGTGCCTCTGTCTGTTTCTCAGTGGGCGTTTGGTAAAGGACAGTCCTCATGTCTTTACTCCTTCAAAGGGATAAAAGCATTGGGCCTGATTGTCCATACTGGCTGAATTTCTGCTCTGGCTGGAGAGAGCCAGTGACACCCCCAGAGGGGCCAGGTCAGCGGGAGACAGGTGCTGAGACCATTGTTGTTGCCTCGGGACCTGGAGTGGGCGCCATCTGCCCTCACGACATCTGGAGCAGGTAGAGCTGTGAGTAGGTCACTGCTGGCAAATCCTAACCTGCCCATGGTGGCAAAGACGAGCACAGCACCTCCACAGGGTGAGGGGTGAGCACGAGCAGCCAAATGAGCTCATGCTGAAGTGAGCAGCCCAAGGTGACGCTGCCTACCCCCAGCAGCTGCTGCCAGGGAGGGAGTCTGAATCCTGTCTGTTCTGGAAGTCAGATGGGCACCCCATGGGTCCCCGTGACCTGGACTGGTGCCCTGTGCCACCGTCAGAGCTTTTCTGGGTCACACAGTAAAGGAAACAACTGGCATTTGCAGAAGATAGTCAGGGGACTCTTTATTTCCCTATCAACCCATGCACAGATTGTTCTGGAGCTCCGTGGACAGGACCCATAGTCATCACCAGCATTTGTCACTGAGTCCTGAGGGAGCCAGCTCTCTATCAGCAATGCTTCTGACCTCAATGTCCCAACGCCACTAGGGGCTGTGGACATGAATCTGCATTAGCAAAGTCCCTGTGTTAGGAGTGGCGGAAGCCACCTGCTGCCAGACTCAAGCTCTGATGATGTCTCAAAGGCTCTTTACCCAGCTGTCCCCTGGAGTCCCCAGGGTGAGGTGGAAATGCTACTTCTGTGCCCTACCCACACACAGAGATGCTGATGTCACCAGCCAGGGGAGAGCCTGGCATCTCCTACTACGGTTTACCCACGTAGCCAAGCTGGAGAACAAGCACTGGTTTCTCATGAAACCCAAGTCCCTAACTCCTCCCCTGGAGATGTTTGGACTGATTTTGTCCACCATGGTCACTTCACTTGGGTGACTTACAATATCCGGGACGCAAGGGTGGGACTAAAAGGAGCCACACAATTCAAACAGGAGGACTATCTGGATCTAATGTGCTCAGCACATCCTGCGTTTGTCTTACCAACCTGCTTTCTGTTTTGCTTTTACTTCCTTGCTGTTTTTTCCTTCAACAAACCACACTCACATCCAAGGCACACACACTCTAACCTGTTACCCTCCCTTTGTGTTCAAAATCCAAGCTGAGGACGATCTCACTGAGTCTCAAAATATCCCTGCAAGAGAGCCAGGCCTTTGTTCCTTAAGACAGGCAGTCAGTGACAGGCAGGTCAGGTTAGAAGAGGTCTCTATCTGACCCTGTTGTGGAATCCACATCATGATGGAAGCCCAGTCCTGAATGATTTCCAAGCCACAGAGTGTTTCTGCCTACACAATCCCATGGAGTCTCATAGCAAGCTTGTAGAGGCAGTTTTCCTAACCAAAGTGACCACAACTCCTGTTTTGCTCGAAAAACCTCAAATGACATCCACTGTCCCAAAGGAAGTATTGGTAGGATCTCCTGACACACTCAAAGTGTCTTGGTTTGCACAATAAATTATATGCTCATCTTATTTTAAACAATCTCTTGTTTTAAGAGGGGGGCATTTAGGCTCACATAAGTTAATAGGTGCAGAGTCATTAGCTGATTGAAGGCAGAGATAAGACTTGAGCTCAGGTTCAGGGCCTCCAAATGTCTGGCACTCCCAGTGATGTTACAGAACAGTAGAATCAGAGCTCCACTGAGCTAACTTTTAGATGAAGAAACTAAAAATGCTGGGCAACTATCTCTTCAAGGTCTCCCTTAGAATGCTCTCTGCAAGGGAATGAGCCCAGTGCTTAGCAGTCTCCTTAACAACATTTTATGAATACATCCTCATAGATTAGTAAATGACACATCATTGTCATCACAATGATACTTGAAAGCTCATAACTGGAAATTGAATCTGAGGAAATCTGAGGGAAGATATGAATGCTATTTGCTCTCCACCTTGGGGCATTTCCCACCCTTCTCTGAGCACACCTGTTGTTCAAACATACAATGGGACCAATCAAAGATTCTGTTCTGGGTTCCCAGGCCATCACCAGAGGACAACCAGAGCTCACCAGACGTTCTGATGGCATCTGCCTGTGGTGGTCCCTGTGAGTCAGCTCTGTTTTGCTCATTTCTCACACCAGTGAAGCAACTCTCATAAACAGGGATGCTGGGGACCAAATGAGATAAAATGCAGAAATATGTTCCTTCCTTGGGAGCCCAAAGATGCTGGCAACTGTTATCCCGGGAGCATCAGTAACAGACAGTGACTGACTCTACGCTGGCCTGAGAGAAGGTCACTTGCCCAGCAAACTCCCTGGATGATGGCAATGTAGAGTGGTGGATGGAGCAGGCTGGCTGACCTGGGGGTGCTTTCAATAACCCCATCTCGATACTGGGTGGGGCCTACTCCTCCCCCCCTGGGCAGGGGGAGACATCCTAGAAACCACTGCAGTCACCTGCTAGGAACCTTTATTTCTGTGGGAATCATAGCTGTCACGGCCCAGAGAAGCCCCAAACCCTATACACAACTAATGGTGTAAATCAGGACACTGCTTCCCTAAAATGACAAGCTTAAGGCCTGGCAGCATCTTTATTTCTACCCTTTTCTTGCCCCTGTAAATGGTAACATGAATCAAAAGCTCAAGAATTGGGGGTGGGGGATCAGAACTGCTTCACTGTCTAATTTTCTTTTTGTTCTCCCCATCAATCTGGCCTTTGAGCAGCCCAGAAGGGCTGCTGGGCTCTTGCAAACTGTTTTCCTTTAAGGAACAAAGCAAATGGCGACGCAGGCATTTTAGAATTCTTTGGGAGCACAGTGAGATTTTCGTATAAATGGATGAAATCTTCCAGGCAGCCATCCTGAAATTCCAAGAGTGGGTAGAGTAGGTCTCCTTGCCTAGCACCCTAATAGCAGGGCAAAGGGCTCCTGAGCTCTAAAGAACCAATTTGTGTTTCAAATACCTCTGGAACTTGACACCTTGAGGCTACCTACTCCCAGGGAATCTGAGTAAGTCCTAGAACAGCTTTCTTAAGGAGAGCAGCAGACTCCAGGCTTTGTGAAAGCCCTGCCTATTCACCCGCTGGGCTGCAGGCCTGACCTGTGGGGGGCAGGGCACCCCTTTCAAAGCCCTGTGGCCCTAAGGCTCACCAACCCAGGAAGGCACACCAGCTTTTGCATTCTCTGGGTCTAAAGATCTCACCAGGGGTATCTAGAAACCAAACAAGTGTCACTAAAGGACAGGTGTCATTTGGAAAAACAAATACAAAGGCTGTAAAACCCAACCCAACGGGCGAAATTTGACAAACCTTTTCTGTAGACTGGGACAAGATGACAGATCATTTCTCAAGCATAAAAAAGTCACAACTGATTTTTTATGTTTTTAAGTGGACAAAGAGAGTTATTAAGGTTACCTCCCGTTTTCTGCAAAAATCTGTTAAACGGGCTTGCAAATACCAATGACCTGAGCAAAGCCACATTCTACAGGTTCCAGGAGACCAGGTTCCTTTTCCATCCAGCCAGGAGGCCCCTGGAGACTCCAGGGACCTTCTCTGGGCTTTCCCAATATTTCCAGGAAACTCTCTTCAAGGGCTCTGTCCCTCAAGGTCTGGGCTCCACAGCCAGGCTACACCCCTCCCAGGCAGGCTCCGCCTGCTCTCAGGTTTCCAAGGCTATAGAGGCAAGAGCCTGATCAAATGTTCCCCTGCCACCCGCGGGGACAGCCCAGCCCTGTCCTCTCCTGCAGGTGAGGATGCCTCTAGGGTCTTGGGGAGGTCCCATCCCTGACCCACCCCTCCTGAGCTGGCACAGGACCCAGGTCCTAATGGGACACATCTTGGCTCCCCTAGTCACGCAGTAGAGAACATCTTTGTCCCCTGCGCTTTAATTTAATTTTGGTGGCTCTGAGTGAAAGTGAGAAAGGGGGTTAAGAAATGTTATTTTTGCCTTGCCAAAGAGGATCATACTCAGACCATTCCCCTCCTGTTCCCTCCCCAGGTTACCGGACGGGTCTGTGAGGACACTGCTTGGGGACCTGTCCTGCGGGCCACCTCTCTAGGATGACAGACACCTGCTGGTTGTGCCCTCTTCCAGGAGTGGGTAACAGCGAGCATGGGGCACCGCGTGGGGATCCCAGTGGCACCCCAGGTGTGTTTCCAGGCAGCTCCGCATGGCGGGGAGCTCTGGGTGCACCTCGGGACTGTGCATGGGCATATGGGTCCTACCTTCACGAAGAGCTCGATCTCGGGGTCCCTGTCGTCCCCGTTGGCTGTCGCCGTGTCCATCATGCCGTCGCCCTGTCCCTGTCCCTGCGTGTGTCTAGTGTCGTGTTTTAAACCATCCACTCTGGACCCACGGGAGGGCACACGCGGGGGCACCACGGGGCCAAGAAGGTGATGGTGACAAGTCCTAAGCAACAAGTGCGGTGGCGGCAGTGACCGTGGCTGCTGCTGCGGCTGCAGGCAGCGGCGGTGTCACCGGATCCCGACTGTCAGCGATCTCGCCCTGCCGCGAGCCCAAAATAGCCGCGGCCGGGGGCGGGGTCAGGGGGGACCTGCTAGGCCACTGTCCGGCAGGGACAGAGCCACCTCCCTGCGGGCCTGGAGTGCTAAGGAAAGAGAGGAGAGGCATGGACGGGGCAGGCAGGAGAGATGGCTTTTCAGTTTTAAATGACACCCTCCCCACAGGGTGAACCTAGGGCTTTGACACTGAGCTACACCCTCAGCCCTTTATTATTATTTTTTAATTTTTGAGGCAGCGTCTTAGTAAGTTGCTATGCTGCCCAGCTGACTAAGCTTGAATGAGTGATCATCCTGCTTCAGCCCCCACCAAGAGTGCTGGGAAGTTTTGCGCTACCAGCTCACACACACACACACACACACACACACACACACACACACACACACTCCACAGGTCCACAGATCAGAGAATTTCCCCAACCTGCTCCCTGCAACATATCGAGCAGCAGGTGAGTTCCTCTGGGATCAGCAGCATCTGCACTGGAATCAGCACCCGGCTCCTCTGCCCGGGTCTTGGTGCTGTGTCTGCTGTTCCTGCCCCCACACTGGTGAGAATCACCTCTCTGATGGTGACCTGGGTGATGGGTTGTGTGTCACCTGTTTTCACCGCTGCCATTTGTCTCTCACTCTATCTGCTGAGCAACACACTGGTGGGCACCCAGTTATGAGCCACATGGATATTTTTGTGTGATGATCGTTCTTTCTGCCAAATATCCTTGGATTGGATCCATGATCCTTTTCTCTTGGAAATGCACCTGTGGTGGCATTGCTGCAGCCCAGGGTGTGAGGGTGTGCTCGATTTACAGCACTGCATGGGTGTCTAAAGCTAAGGTACCAGCACATATTCCCATCCTTGATCTCTCTTAAAAACAGTTGCTCACCTTTTGCAATCAGAATCTAGTCACTTTCTCTGTTTTCTCTGCTTTCTCTTCAGTCAACCCTGTTTGTGCTTTGCCTTGCCTTATTTATAAAATGTATTTGTTTCATAGTTTTATGAGAAAAAATGAATCACTTAATATGAAAATATATAACATCACTTAAGATGTGCTAAACAAAACCTGCTAAGTACCTTACATATCTTGACTTGTTTAATCTTCATTAAACTTTATTAATCTTTAGTGTTATTTGCCTGATTTTACAAGAGGGGAAATTGAGGTACAGGGTACTGAAGTGATTTGCTCTAGCTAGGAAGTGGTAGTCAGGATTCAACTGCAGACAGGCTGCTGAGCCTACATGCTTAACCACTGCACCAGGTGCTTCTCCCACGCTTAGTGTGTCGTGCAAGTCACTTCAGGAACAGAGGCTGTCCTGGTCTTTCATAGTTTAGAGTCTATGTCAGGATGACATCACATGATAGGAAGACCAGGGTTGTCACAGGGATCAAAGAGGTGGAGGGGACTAGAGTTTGGATCTGAAATGTCCTCAGGGGCTTGGTACCCAGCCCACAGTGCTGGTGGAGGTGCTGGCTCCTGTAGGAGGGGAGAGCTAGTGGGAGGAAGTTGGTCACTGGTGGACGCCCTCTGAGACATCCCAGCCCATCCTCTCTTTTTGTAGGTTACGTGGTAAATGGGACTCTTCTACCACAGTTCCTAACATGACATCTTGTGCCAACATAGGCCAAAGCAGTGAGGCTGATGGGTCATGTATGAAGCTTCCATTATCAAGAGCCAAAATAAACCTTTCCTCTTTTTATGTTGATTTGCCTCAGATGTTTTATCATATTGATGATAAGCTAACACAGAGAGGCCATGGGGAGATACTGATCACTATGGTTAGGGTAGGGAGAGATGAACGTTCCCAAATATTCCCACATCTGATCAGGAAAGTGAGCAAGGTAGCCTGACCACTGTGCATGCAGCCTGTTTCCCCACAGATTCCACATGCACATGACCCCCGCTCGCCAAGGAAAACACCTCCAAGCCTACGTTCAACCTCTGTTGCACTAGAACTCAATCAAGGTGAGGTGTAATCACTCCCTGCCTCCTTGGTTTCAGGCTTACATCACAGTCGCCTCCACTGCCAGCATTCCAACCCCATGACAACATGCTCCAGAGCAGGACCAAGGTGACACGGGGAGATGGTGCCTCCCTGCGTGAAGGGCAGGCTCATCCCTTCCCCGTGCAGGCGTATGGACAGCATTGTTAATAGGAATGTAGTGGGAGCAAGTAAGTTATAGGCACAAAAGACCTTTGAGATGTATTTACAGTGAGAACTGCTTTAGAGGAGCTAACTTTCACTATCTCCTCTGCAAGTATCTGCTACTTAATGGAAAATCCCCTTCCGATCTCCATTTCTTAAAAATATCTTCCATTTGGACATCCCTATAAAACATACTGTTGATATTATAAAACTTATTGCAAAAAAGAAAGAGAAAAAGAGAAAGAAAAGAAGGAAGGAAAAAAAGAGAGAGAGGAAGAAAGGGAAAGAGAGAGGGAGGAGGGAAGGACAAAAGGGAGGAAGAAGGGAAAAGGGGAAGAGGAAGGAAAGAAATAGAAACATTCATTTCAGCCGCCAACTATTTCTGTATGTATTTTTCATTTTAATTTCATATTATGCTGTGGTTCGGGATAAAAATTTAATTTTGCTCTATTTACTGTCAACGCATAAATGGTTAAAGTCAGTCCTAGCTTTGTAATTCTAATTTTAGTGCATAGATCCACATACTGAGTGCCAATTGCAGATAAGTCTTTACCAAGAAGGCTCTACAAAAACACATTTGCTGCTGACTTGGACAGCACGTATGCTGAAACGGACTGCAGAGGCCAGGTCCCCACTGTCCCAGGGAAACAGTGGCATGCGAATCTGTGGAAGAGTCACAGTTTTATATGATTGTTGAAAGCAACCATTATATCCACATAGTTTTTAATACAGTTAGGTTCCATCATATGACAACTTTAAAGAGAAAAGTATAAAGGGATGTGAATAGCTGTAATTCTCTCCACTGGAAATAGCAAACTGTTAACTGTACGTGGCCCAAGAAGTTAGATACACAGATTGTAACCTCCAAAGAAATAACAAAATATAGTCAAAACAAAACAAAACTAATACGTTAGAGCAGAATGACAAGAAATAGACAGTCTAGAAGCCAAGAAAGGGGAGCAAGAGAAACTGCAAGGGGAAAGCAGAATGGAAGCCAAACTCAGCGGTGCGCACCTGGAGTCCTAGCGCTTCAGAGACTGTGGCCGGAATGTCACTGCTTCATGTCACTGGGAAACATAATAAGAGACTGTCTAAAATGAAATTTTAAAATACCTAAAGCCAGCCACATTAATACTGAACACTAAATGTAAGTGATCTAAATGCATCAATTGAAATCTGGGGATTGTTGGATTGGATAGAACGATAATCGCACAAGACCTAACTATATGCTGTTACAAAACTGAGTTCAAACACAAGGATATCAATAAATTAAAAATAAAGAGTAGGAAAGGTAACCCGGCCAAGCAAACATGAATCAAAAGAAAGCTAGTGGCCATGTTAATAGGAGCTGAAATAGCCTTCAGAACAAGGAAATTATCAGGTATGAAAAGAGATTTGCATAACAGTAAAAGAGTCAACCCACCAAAAAAGATATAACAACTTTGTTATAGATTAAGAACTGGTGGTCAACTTAATGCCAGTTGGATTACATCAGCATGGCATTGAGTGAAGATGCTCCACCTGAGGAAAGTTGCCAGGATAAATAGGTGGAGAAGAAGGGAGGTGTTGAGGCATTAATGTGTTGTTGCATTGAAGAGTTGTTGAAGCACGAGTTGCTGTTTGAGCCATTAGATTCTTCTGGAGAAGCTCTGGTCCTTACATGGAGCATTGCTTCCTGGCTCCGGAGGGGAAGACGTGTGCTGCTTGGTCTCCAGGATGAACTCATCGTGCTGGCTTCCTGGCATGTACTTGACTATGCTTGTTGGAGGAGGAGCTCGGGGCCTCCATGTCGCTGAGGATGGCTGTGGTACTTTTCAGGACAGCCCTGGTCTTTGTTGTGATTGTGACTTCTCGGCTCCAGCGTAGAACCTCTTTCTAGCCTCCACCGCTGGCCTTTAGGGCTTCTCAGCACGGATCCATAAAAGAGACTGGCATGAGTCATTCTTGTGGGTTCTGGACCTCCAGTTGGACTCGTGGGAGGCATTGTCATGAGCTCTGGGTTTTCATCTGGACTCATGTGGGACATTGCTGAGGTATTTAGGCCCTTGATTAAATATTCTATGTCTTTGGTGTTGCGGATAGATTTCCTGTATTTTCTTGTGTTAACTCCTGGTGATCATTATAAAAATAATATTATAAACTCCATGTCCTGATTCTAATTGTTCTATGTATAATCCTTAACTACAACAAACTTTAAATGTGCAGGCACCTAATAATAGAACTTCAGTATAAGCAAAAGTTGATGGACTGAAGGAGAGACACACACAGTTAATAGAGATTTCACATCTTGCCTCATAGTATTTGATAACCCCAGCAGACAAAAAACAAAACAAAACAAAAAAAATTCAACAAAAGCATAGAAGACCTGGACAACACTGTTGATCAATTTTATATAATTAGTGTTTATGGACTATCCCACCAAATCAACAATAGAATATATACTATTGTCGTATACATGAAAAATTCTCCAAAATAGACCCTATTGTGGATCACAGAACACTCTTAAATTTACAATAAAATCACACCAAGTATTTTTCTGACAATTGATGGAATCAACTAGATCGACTTAGAAATTAAGCAGCATGCATTAAGAAATTCATTGATCAAGACGCAGCTCTCAAGTATTGTCTTAGTCAATTTCTTGCCCACAGGAACAAAATACCTGACAGCCACAAATTAAATGAGGAGAAGTTTATTTTGGCTCAAGTTTTAGAAGTTCCAGAAGCTTCACAAGTTTCTGTGATCAGCAGGCCGTCACAGAAAAAGCATAGCAGAAGGGTCTGGGGGAAGGGAGGCTGCTCACAGTATGGAGGACGGAAAGCATAGAGTTAAGGGAGGAGATTGGGAGGGAGAAATGCCTTTCCAAGCCATGCCTCCAGCCTAACAGCAAGTCAGCTATGAAGCCCCAGTCATCCAGGAACCTTCCAAAGCCCCACCTATGATCCCATGGGGTTCTTGGGTTACATCTAGGTATAAACCATAAAAGGTAAAATTGTACAATATTTTGAAATGAATGTACAACCTATTAAAATTTTCAGGATACAAATGAAGCAATGTCGAGAGGACAATTAATATGTGAAATGCTTATTTTATGAGAAAATATCTCAAAAAGATTTCACTTTAAGAAACTAGAAAAAGAAAATCTAACTCTACATAAGCAAAAGGAATAAAGTATTAAATACAAGAACAGAAATCAATAAAATTGAAAAAATTTTAAAAAGGAAGAAAGCAACAAAATAAAAACTTGTGTTTTTCTAAAAAAAAAATCAATGAAATATATAAACATCTAGATATTTCACCAAAATAGAAGAGATATAAATGTTACCAATTTCAAGATGAAAGATAAGTCATCAACTACAAATTCCACAGACTAAAAAGATATTAAGGAGATACTAGAAATAATTCTCCAAACATGAATTAGAATGTCACTCAACAGAGGGAATCTTGAAAGATACAAGCTAACAAAAGTCACCCAAGAAGAAGTAGATAATATGAATTGTTTATATCTATTGAAGATATTAAATTCACAGTTAAAACCCCTCAAACAAACATTTCCAGACTCCAAGTGTCTTCATCAATGAATTCTACCAAACACTGAAGAAAGAATAATAATAATTCTATATAATGTCTTTAAGAAATCAGAAAAGAAAGAAACAAAGGACATGTATTTGGGATTTGTAAGGAATTTTCACAACTCGACTCAATTAAAAAAAAATAGGCAAAAGATCATAACAGATATTTTACCCAAAAATCACTGAAATTATCACATGAAAACATGCTCATCATCATTCAGCAGAGATGTGTAAACTAAAAGAGACTTCAACATGCCCATTAGAATGGCTAAAATCTGCACGCTTGGTGGCCCCTCATGCCAGCAAGAATTTGGAGCAACTACACTCTCATACTTTACTGGCAGGATCATGGACAATGCTTTGGATATTTTACATAACATCAAACAGACCTTTACTGTACTTCCCACTTACCATGCCCTGGGTTCTTCTAGAGAAATGAAAAGTTATACTCTCACATAACTCTATATATGAATGTTTATAGCATTATTAGTCATAATTCCCCTAAATTGGAATCAAGCCACATGTCTTTGATGGGTAAGTGAATAAACATTTTGCAAGACACTCATCCACGATACGCTGCTTTGTAATAAAAAGGAATGAGCTGGTAAGATGTGGAAGACAAAAGAAAACTAAAATGCACGATACTGGTGCAAGAAGCCAGTCTCAGTTGCTGTATCTTGTATAGCTTCGTTTCCATGACATTCTTCAGAAGAAAAAATTTTAAGGTAGTGAGAGGCCAGTGGCTTCCGGGGCTGGAGAGGGGGAGGTTTGATTACAAGCGGTGGCAGGAAGTTTTCTCAGGTGCTAGAGCTGCTGTGTATCCTGTTTGTGCATTCTTTTATGCATTAAAATGTTCAGAACTGCATAAAAAAGCATGAATTTTCTGTGTATAAATCTTTAAGATGATCAAAATTCTTAAATAACTGTAAATACTGTGAAGCCATCCTTTACATCTCTTTTCTGTGCATTCTGCACTTCCTGTCTCTA